AGACTCAACACCCGATCATGCAAAATCCCACCCAAATATACCAAGAATATCATAATACAAAATCCATGTTATAACCCTAGGGCTCTAGACATAATCAAAATACAAGATCGTTTATATAATTATTCATAGTATCAAGACATCAAGATTATCACATAAACATCAAGATTATCATATAAACACCAAGATTATCACATAAACACAATATAAACCCTAGGCAAAGCTCTATCAAGACTCAAACACAGAATCATATATCAAAGGAGCCAATGAATAAGATATAGCAAGGAAAATAAGTTTTGTTGAGACATGAGTTACCTCTTAGCCTTAATCAATATCCTTGGCTACTAAGGTTCTTTCTTTAAGATTTTCTTTCTATGGGTTCTCCTACGTTTGATGGCAGGGGGATTCCTCTGTAGGTTTCTCTCTGGGAATATCTTGTGTGGTAGAATTAACTGTGGTAGGGTTTCTAAATGCTTCCTAAGTCCCTATATATAAATTTAGGAGCCCCAACTAGGGTCTGAATAGTAAGGGTCCACTTATCCTATTTCTTATAGGATTAAGGATTTGGTTTAAGGATAAGGGTCCATGATCTATGGTAGGCCACATCCCCTAATTAAAGGGAATCCTAACCAAGTTAAATCTTTTCTAATTATTATTAACAGAATCAATTAAATAATTAATCTGGGATTAAGGGCCGTAACACGAGGTGTTACAGTGTAGTCGACATTGTTCCATTCCGGGACTCGGGCGTTGACGGGCCTCTTCGGCATTGTAGAAATTTAGGAGGTCGCTAGGGATGCGGGGATGAATTTTTTTTTTCGGCGATTTCCCGGTGAGAGCTCCGGTAAAGGTCGACGGCGCTAGCTGATAAGTGCATTTTTGTCTATATTTTTACCCCTTCTTGAACCCTTTTTATTTGTGAATTGCCTAAAACCTTGTGTGAATTGTGACTAAGTTATGTTGGTTTTATTTCAAGGCGCAATCATTCACAACAAGTGAGGAATTCAATGATTTGTGGGAAGATACGAGCAATTTTGGGACCAAGAGATCAACCAAAGAGTTTGGAATGCATTTAGGAATTTTCAAGAGCATCATACTGCCTCCCGTACGCCCATCCGTCAGCCCGTCCAAGATCTCAAAAAAGAAGCAGGTGGCGTACGCCCTTTACAGTGAACCAAGAATAAATCGTACTGCCTCAGGGATGGTCGTCCCTAAGGCAGTACCTCTGTGCTCTGTTAATATTTATGCTATTTTCTTGGATTTTTTCTGGAAGTTAGAACCCTAGATAGCTAGAACTCATTTCTCTTCATTTCCTTAGACTTCCTTAGCTTAGATTAGTCTAGTATTACATCTCTAACTCATCTAGCAAGCTTATAAACGCGAATTGGAGTGGGATTCAACCACGATTTCTTCATCTTCAATAGAGAAACTTCTTACTCTTCTTTTAAAGCTTTTGTGCAATGTTTATGATATTTTCTTGTGCTTTGTTGTTATTTATGCTTATGAAGTGTGAGTAGTCCGTTTTTAGGCTCGAATTAGGGTGATATTGCGAACCTAGATGCTAAATAGGTGATTATTGCATAAGGGGGAAGATATCTAACCTAGGGTTCATTTGTTTGTGAAGGATTTATGTTGAATCTTGTTAATATTTGGTACGTAACTCTTATTAACTTGCTTTTGGATAGTTTTTCTCCACAATGAAAGTTGGGGGAAGAATTTAAGCCTCTCCTTTCTCTAAACCCATTTTCTTTCTATGAAAATAAGGAAGAATTGGGGGGCCTAAATGCTTATGTGCTTTAAGAGCTAGGATTTGATACACCATGAAAGTGGGGCAATCCTTGCTCTAATCCTTGTTTATTAGCTTATGAAAATGGCTTTAAGCTAGGATTTTTATGTGCTTTGCCCTTATGTTCCCTTGGTTGATGTTCTCCCCTAATCCCTAAGTTGTTAAAGCATCTAGAAGGCAACATCCCCTAATTTGAGCCCATCTTTTATCATTGTGTTTTACTTGTGTTTAAATTGCATTGTCTTAACTAGATTTTTAGCCTTTAATTGTTGACTTTACCCAACCATGAATTTGAATTTGCTTGGATTCTTGTGGGTTCCAATACTTTGGTGCCTAGAATTTTAGTTGTCACTCAAGTACGTGTCATAGTCCCAATCCCTTGCGGAACGACAATTTACACCCGTTACTCACCATCTCTTTCCCGTACATCAACTTTTTGGCGCCGTTGCCGGGGATTGGTTTATTTGGTTGTATTGTGTGATTGTTTTTTCTTTCTAGCTTTAGAGTTAGTGAACTCTAAGGAGATCAAGTTTTTATTTTCTTTTATTTTCCTTTGTTTGTTTGTTTTAAATTGTGACTAAGTGCTTCCAAAGTTGTCTTTGCTTGAGTTTGGTTGTAGGTACTTCTCTTGGTGCATGCAAACTAGGTCTAAAGGGAGCCAAGACCTTTACACTTTCAACCAAGAACTCTCTAGGGAGCTAAGGAGACAAAGAAGAGACTTGCTCGGTTGGTTGAAGGAGTTTGAATGATTGGAGATAAACATGGAGACGGGTGACATTAGCAATCCCGGTCAAATCTCACCCAATGATACAAGCACCCAACATAGCCCGAGACAAGGGGAATTCAATGAAGCTCGTGCTAATGTCTCTCAAGTGCCAATTGCTCCCGTTCAAATACCGGCACATAACTTCATGGTAAATCCTAATGTCAATCCTTATGTTGGAGGAGGAATGGGGTTTCCACAAGCTCAATACCCATATTATCCTAACATTAATCAAGGGGGCATTCCTCAAGGGTATGGACAACCTCAACAACAACAAGGGCAAGGGGTTGATATGCAGAATCTTCTTCACCAAATGAACCCCAACTTTGCCAACCCTATGTTCAACATGCCTCAAAACTTTCCACAAGGATTTCCTCCTATTTTTTATCAAGGTGTGCCACAAAGACAACCCATGGTGGCCCATCTAGCTCCGGAGTTTGAAGAAGAGGATTGCATTGTTTACCCGGGGGTGGATGCCAACAATTTTGAACTCAAGACTTCTCTTATCCAAATGGTTCAAGCCAATCAATTTGGAGGTTCAAGGGTTGAGGATTCTAAGGCTCATGTTGTCCACTTTGATCGGATTTGCCAAACAATCAAGATGAATGGGATTCCTAGTGATGCAATCAAGTTGAGGCTATTCTCTTTTTCATTGAGAGACCAATTATTGAGTTGGCTCAATTCCTTTCCGGCCAACCATTTCACAACTTGGGAACAACTTTACAAGGCCTTCATGCAAGAGTATTGCCCTCCTTCCAAGGCCGCCAAATTGAAGAAACAAATTCAAAATTTCCAACAATTTGGAAATGAGAATTTGTATGAAGCTTGGAAAAGATTTAAGGAGTTGAGAAGACAATGTCCAAAGAATTTGCTTACTCCGGGGAATTTCATCTCATCCTTTTATGAGGTATTGTTGGATAGCTCAAAAACCATTCTTGACACATCTTCATTTGGAGGCATTTTTATTGATATGGGCCTGGAGTATGGTGAACAATTGATTGAGAGGATCACTTCTAACACGGCATATTGGTATAATGAAAGAAGTGACCCACCCAAGAAAGAAAAAATTGCCGTGATGTTTGAGGTTGAAGAAAAGATGGCCATGCAAGCTCAATTGGATTCAATTCAACACATGCTCAAGAATATGATGCAAGCTCCGAAGCAAAATGTGCAAGCGGTGACTCAAACTCATCCTCAAGTATCTTACATGTCTACTCCGTATTCCTTGCCACAAGCTACTTGCAATTCTCCCGGTTCTCAAAGCATGACACTAGTAGCTTGTTGTGCCATATGTGGAGGAGCTCATGCTTCTCAAGCTTGTTAATTGTTAGATCCGAGTGACCAAGGCTCTTTATCAAACATGGAGCAAGTGGATATGGTTGGGTATTCTAGACCCCAAAATCAAGGGCAATGATATGGAAATTATGGTCAACAAGGAAGGAATCAATTTGGGTCTTCTTGGAACAATCAAGGTGTGCAAGGAAGGAATCCACCTCCGGGTTTTCAAGGAAATCAAGCAAATAGAGGTGGAAATCAATTGAATCAACAATGGAGAGGAAATCAAGGACATGAAAACAATCAAAATCAACAAGGATCCTCTCAACCTTCTCAAGATGTGGACATGAAGACATTAATGAACATGATGATGTCTCAAATGTCTCAAATTAGCAAGTTTCAATCTCAAGTGGAGAATCTGCAAGCTCAAAATCAAGGAGGAGGCACTCAAGGGTCTACACAAGCCTCATCTTCTAGTGGTAGACTTCCGGCTAACACCGAAAATCCTAGAAATCATGTCAACGCCATCACCACTAGAAGTGGAAAATCTTTGAAAGATCCACCTTTTCCTTCTAATGATCTTACACTTGAAGAAGATGTTGAGAAAGATGAAGATGAAGAAAGGCCAAATGAAGAGGAAATTGAAAAAATTCTTGAGAGTGAAAATGATGATGAGCCTCTAATTCAAAGAAACAAGTCAAAAGGGAATGAGCCAATTCAAGAAAGAAACAACCCAAGTAAGAAGAATGTGAACAAGGCCAAGCAAATGGATGACTCGATGATTCCTTGCAACTTGTTGCCATTTCCACAAAGGTTGTGGAAAACAATAGAAACCGAGAGAGAAAACAAATTTAAAATGATGCTTGATAAGTTGGAGATTTCTATGCCCTTTGTGGAAGCAATTACTCAAATACCTTCATATAAAAAAATTCTTGAAGGATATTTTGAGTAACAAGAAGAGATTAGATAAGAGTGCGGTGGTGGACCTTAGTGAGGGAGCTTTGACATGTGCCGTTCTCCAAAAGAATTTGCCTCCTAAATTGAAAGATCCGGGAAGTTTTTCTATTCCTTGCATTGTTGGAGGATTTGTGGTGAGTCGTGATTTGTGGGGCTAGTGTGAGCCTTATTCCATACTCTCTATGCAAGAGGACCAATCTTGGAGAGCCCAAGCCTACTACCATGACATTCCAAATGGCGGACCGTTCCATCAAGCGCCCGGTGGGAGTACTTGAAGATATCCCGGTTATGATTGATCAATACTACATCCCGGGAGATTTCGTGATTCTTGACATAGAAGAGGATGCCAAGGTTCCAATAATCCTTGGTAGGCCATTTCTAGCCACCGCCAATGCAATCATAGATGTCAAAAGAGGGAAGCTTGTGATGGAGGTAGCCGACTATAAAATTGAGTTTGACATCTTCAAGATGGCTAAACACCAACCTTCTTACATTGATGAGTGCAACAAGGTGGAAGTCATAGAAGAATGTGTTGGAGAGGTACTTGGGATTGGAGGAGATAACCAAGGAAGCTCTCTTGTGGGAAATTTCTTTGAAAAGTTGGGAGAATGCACCTAAATCAAGGTGGACCTTGGCATGCAAGAGTGGAGAAGCGACTTTGAAAACATGACGGGAGCTCTTGCCATTCTTGAACCCCTTGGAGAGGATCATGCCCCAAAGGTAGAATTAAAACCTTTACCTCCAAATCTCTGGTATGCTTTTCTTGGCTCTAACTCTACTTACCCGGTGATTATTAATTCTTCTTTGCACAATGATGAAATTGATAAATTGCTTAATGTGCTTAGAAAACATAGGAGGGTAATTGGGTACACAATTGGGGATTTGATTGGCATTGATCCTAAGTATTGCATGCATAGAATCTATTTAGATGACAATGCCAAGCCCATTGTGGAGCCCCTTAGGCGGTTGAATCCTAACTTGAAAGATGTGGTAAAGAAAGAGATTCTAAAGTTGCTTGAGGCCAACAATATATACCCTATTTCGGATAGCAAGTGGGTTAATCCCATACATGTTGTTCTGAAAAAGGACAGTATAACGGTCATTGAAAATGAGATAATGAGTTGATTCCTACTAGACTTGTTACCGGGCACCGAATGTGCATTGATTATAGAAAATTGAACAAGTCTACTAGGAAGGATCACTACCCCCTCCCATTTATTGACCAATTGCTTGAAAGAATGTCCAAAAACGAATATTTTTGCTTCTTAGATGGATTTTCAGGATATTTTCAAATTTCTATCCACCCCGAGGACCAAGAGATGACCATGTTCACATGCCAATATGGCACCTTTGCCTTTAAAAGGATGTCATTTGGTTTGTGTAACGCGCCGGACACTTTTCAAAGATGCATATAACACCCCAGATTTTCAAGACTTTTAAAACTTATATAATAAAGGTAGAATCTCATTAAATCCCAAAATACGATACAAAGAGTACAGGGTGCTATGCCACACCTAAGCTAGAGAACTCAGGTGCACAGGCTAACTACTAATATCCTCAATAATGTAAACGCTTAGACATGGCACGCAGGCCGAAAGGGAAACTATCTACTTCTATGCTCCAAGTTCTAGCGCGCTCCAGTGACTTACTCTTCTGTGCCTGAAAGCCAAATATATCTGTTTAACGAGAGATGCTGGTAACCCACTCCAACGCATTGAAATACGATACATATAGATATATATAGATATACGAAAACCATTTTGAACATGAAGATATATCCTACGAACTCTAGCTTTTAAAACAGGGATAGACTCAACAGATAGGGTTAAGCACAGACAGCAGTTATACCAAGCATATACAGTTTACAACAGGCAAGGCAGATAAGATAAGCACAATTAATAATCATAACCCAACATATATGATTCCCAATATGAATCCCATAGTCACATCCCCAAGACACTCATAACAACAACTCATCCGTATCTCATCACATAGCACACTTTGTTGGCGCCACAGGACCAATCGTATGCCCATACATGAGGGTCAGCGCATATAGCTCTGACACGGCCCCGCAGCACCCTGCCCCGTATCGCAACACGGAGGGGTCGATGCAACCGACCGATGAACCGCAGCTCATCATAGTTTGATCGCAACCAAACAGTGGACCGCAGCCAGGAAATATGAACCGCAGCTCATGTAGAAACGTTTGATCGCAACCAAACGGTGGACCGCAGCCCGGGAGTGTAAATCTGACTGCAGCCACCTTCTGAACCGCAGCTCAGGAATAACCAATTCGATCGCAACCGAATTGGGGTATCATGCACACTTAACACATAGCAAGCACATGCAACCCAATTAACACATTGGGAAGGGGGAGGAAGCGTATAACAAAACCTATGCGTGATCCTTCACATACTAAGAATAATCCTAAGGGGTTCATACTTCTTTCACCTAGGTCAACGGGATACCAATTCAACTAGCATGCAATATATATAAGACTCATACAACCTACGAACGGTACCCGAAATATCAAACTAGACATAGGCGCGATAGACGGAGTCCGTTGGGACACCACGGGGGTCGGGGGAACATCAAACGGGGAAGCCAAAATCCCACATTGGGGTGCAAACCAGCGGGTAGCCGGTGGGTGAGGAATCACCCGCCGGCGGTAGCTAATCCGGGCAGCGGGTGCCCGGCGGGCAGCTGCCCGCTGCCGGCGTTGTCCAAGAAGGCCGCGGGTAGGTGGCGGGTCCCCTACCCCTACCTACCCCCCACTGACTCTTTTTCACCAAAAACGCCCCGGGAACCTTTGTGGAACCCGAAACCATGCTTAGACACTTTCAAACGCAATTGATAACACACGTAGACAATTAACGGATCAAAGATCGAGAAACATATGGCACATAACCTATCATGTTTTTCTAAACATAATCAACACCCAATCATGCGAATTCCCACCCAATATACCAAGAATAATTCCATACGATATAACCTAGGGTTCTAATCATTTTTAAATCAACAAGGACACAATTCATCTTCTAATATCAAGATTCGGTAAGAATATCACATAAACATCAAGAACATCATATAATCATCAAGAACGTCATATAATCATCAAGAACACCATAATTATCAAGAACCTTTCATCATCAAGATCACCCATGGAATCATCCCATCAATCATCAATAATAATATCACAAATCATCAATACACAATAATATGGGGAAATCCTAAGAGGGGAATCATAGCTATGAAAATATGTTTTGTTGAGACATGAGTTACCTCTTAGCCTTAATTAATTCCTTGGCTATGAAGGGTCTTCCTTTAAGCTTTCTTTCTTTCTTGATTTCTTCTAAGGGAATTCTTGGAGCTCTTTGGGGTGGTGAGTCGTTTATTGTGGTGGGGATTCTAGGTGCCTCCTTATGTTCCCTATTTATATATCTAAGAGTCTTACTTAGGCCTAATTACTATAGGTTTGCTAACTCTATTCCTTTTGGGACTAAGGATTGGGTTTAGGGATAAGGGCCCGTGGACTATGGTGGGCCTTTCCTAATTAATTATTGTGATTTAATTCTTTCTTTTGGGTAATTTGGTTAAATGATTAATTGGTTTTAGGGATCGTAACACGGGGTGTTACACTCTCCCCCCCTTAACAGGAAGCTTCGTCCCCGAAGCTTGGTCCTTGTCGAGTGACTTCTTCTTCGTTACCTGGTGTGAAAAGTTCGGGGTAGCGTTCCTTCATTGTGTCCTTGAGTTCCCATGTCGCTTCCTCGGTCCCATAGTTGGTCCAGAAGACTTTCACCATTTCTATGTCTCGACGTCGGGTGGTTCTTGTCTTGGTGTCTAGGATTCTCACGGGTTTTTCTTCGTATACTAGTGACTCGTCGAGGTCCACGACCTCGGGTTGAAGCACGTGGCTTGGGTCGTTCACGTATTTCTTTAGCTGGGATATGTGGAATACGTTGTGTACTCGTTCTAGTTCAACGGGTAGAGCGTGGCGATAGGCTAGGTTCCCAACTCTTTCTATGATTTCATAGGGGCCGATAAATCGTGGGCTGAGTTTCCCTTTTCTTCCGAATCTCATTACCCCCCGTGTGGGCAAAATTCTCAACCAGACCTTGTCCCCGGTGTTGAATTCGGCTTGTTTCCTCCTTAGGTCGGCGTAGGACTTCTGGCGGTCCTGGGCAGCCTTCATCCTTTCCTGGATGTGTTTGACCTTAGTTATGGTATCTTGTAGGTATTGGGGTCCTAGTGCTACTGGGTCGACCATGTCTTCCCAACATAAGGGGGTTCTACACTTCTGTCCGTATAAAGCTTCGTAGGGCGCCATACGAATGCTTGCGTGGTAGTTGTTGTTGTATGAGAATTCAATAAGGTCTAGGTGTTCCTCCCATGTCCCTTGAAAGTCTAACGCACAGGCTCTTAACATATCTTCGAGAGTCTGAATGGTTCTCTCGGTTTGGCCGTCAGTGGTGGGGTGGAAGGCGGTGCTCAGCTTTAGTTGTGTCCCCAAGGCTATTTGCAGCGATTTCCAGAATTGTGAGAGAAACCGAGAGTCTCTATCGGACACGATGTTCCGGGGGACTCCGTGGTACTTCACTATTCGGCTCACGTAGGCTTGGGCCAGTTGTGTCATTGTCCATGTTTCCTTCATGGCAATGAATCGTGCCATTTTGGTTAGTCGGTCCACTATGACCCAAATTTTATCCTTGCCGGTTTTCGTTGGGGGTAACCCTCCGACGAAGTCCATGGATAATCCCACTTTCCTTGTAGTATCTCAAGGGGTTGTACGAGTCCCTTGGGTTTGCATCGTTCGGCCTTCACCCTTTGGCAATTCAGGCATTTGGCCACAAAATCTGCGATTTCCCTTTTCATGTTGGGCCACCAAAACGACCTTTTCACATCTTGGTATAGTTTGTCACCCCCTGGGTGAACTGGGTATGGGGAGTTGTGCCCTTCTTCCAAGATCTGTTGTTTCAGGTGGGGGTGCGTCGAGGGCACGCACCACCTATCTCGGTAACGGAGACTGCCGTCTTCGTGTATTTCGAAGGGCCCTTCCTTCCCCTGGGTTAGGTCGAGACGGATTTTATCTAGTTCCGGATCCTGCTGTTGTCCTATTTTGATTTCCTCGAAGAGTGTAGGTATGATTTGTGTGTTGAATAAGTGGACGTCGGGGTGGACTTGATCTTGCTCTATTATTTCCAAATTCAGTCTTTGGAAGTCCTTGTACAACTGGTCCGGTAGGATCCAGGTGGTGTTGAGGGAGTGGTTAGTCTTCCTGCTTAGGGCGTCTGCCACAATGTTAGCTTTCCCCTCGTGGTATTGGATGTCTAGATCGTAGTCCTTTATGAGTTCTAGCCACCTTCGTTGTCTCATGTTTAGGTCTTTCTGGGTGAAGATGTACTTTAGGCTCTTATGGTCTGTGTAAATCTTGCATTGCACCCCATATAAGTAATGCCTCCAAATATGTAGTGCGAACACGATAGCGGCTAGTTCGAGGTCGTGGGTGGGGTAGTTCTCTTCGTGGGTTTTGAGTTGCCTGGATGCGTATGCTATTACCCTGCCTTTTTGCATTAGCACGCACCCCAATCCCTTTTTGGACGCGTCACTGAAGACCT